TATAGTTATACCTTAATAAGGTATATAGATATTAGGCTAAAGTAGAAATATCTATATCTTCTTAAAAGGTAATAGGTATAGTTATTTTATTATTAAACTTACTAATTTTAAGGTTAAATAGTTCTTAATAATACCTAATAAGATCCTTTAGTTTAGCTATATATTCCTTACCCTAATAAGTAACTATATCTATAATACTTAAATAAATAAGTCTATATCCTCTAATAGCTAGATATAGAAGAGAAAACTATCTAGATATTTAAGGTCTTTAGGTATATCTTTAGGGTAATCTAGTCCTAATAGGTTATTTAATATAATAGCTATTAATACTATAATATAAAATACTTTTATCTTTTATATAATATAAATTAGGCTAATAGTTCTAAGATCCTAGTTATAAAAAATATAAATAAGATAAGGGTTAAGGTTAATAAATAAGAGAATAGCTTCTTATCTAGTAACTAAGGTATAAAAGAGTAAAGTATAGCTCTAACTAATAGGTTTTAGTATTAATATATAATTATATATTTAAATAGCTATATATATATATTATATAAAAATATTAAAACTATAGCTAAGGGGAATTATATATATCTTAGTTACTTTAATATAATAAACTTTTATATAGTTATTATTAAGGGTTAAGGTAAGTATTATAATATACTTATTAGGTAGTAATAGTAAGTCTAGTTTATTACCTTTTCCTTACTTAATATAAAGCTAATAATAGTAAAGAAATCTTATATTAAAAATAAGACTATAAGATAAATTATTAATAATACTATAAGAGGCTATATAAAATACTATAGATCTATCTAAATAATAAAAATTAACTAAAATAGATATTATCTTTATAACTTAAGGACCCTCTTTACTAATACTAGATAAAAATAAAGGTTTTATTATTTTTATTATAAAGATATTTAGAAAATACTTTATAGCCTAATATTTACTTATAAGGCTTAATCTAAAAGTAGTATTAAGAGTAATAATAAAAGTATAATTACTTATATATATATATTTATAAAGGTAAGAATTAAAGATAAGTTAATAGTTAATATTTATAATTATATAAACTATAGTTTATCTAGCTTATTTAGTTAATAATATAAGACTACTTTAAGCTTAAATAAGGCCTAGATTATTATATTAACCTTACCTTAGTAAGGCTAGCCTTATAGGCGCCTACTATAGCCTTTTACTAGGGATATAGTTAGGCTAA